TTAGTTTGAGAAAATATTCAGAGGTCTTATGTACATGATCATGCAGATTCTCGCCTCATAAGTTTTTTATCAAAAGTATCCAATGGTAATATATTGGGTATCCCTATTGCCACATCATGACAATAACTATCAGTACTCTCTTTGCTCCTGGAAATGGTTAGGTTTAAAAAAGTGATGGAAAACAAGGATCACAGAGGCTGGCAAGAGGTTCAAGGGAAGCTTTAATGAAGGCGCTCCTGAGAGAGGTTCTGTGGCTTAGGAGGAAGTGAAGTCAGGGAAGTCGCGCCCAGGGAAAGGCAGGTGGGGTTTTTATAAGGGAGGGCCGCTGTTGGCCAGCAGCCCATATCTGGTGTATAGCTGTGTAAAGTTAAGTTTCGGTTTCCTGCATAGGTTCTGTTTTCCCTGATGTGACATGGTCCTCAGCCGTTGCTCTGAAGGTGGGAGATCTCTTGGAAGGTGACCTTCTGGTCATCCAGGAAAGTCCCAGGGGCGGGTCCAACAAGAGGGAGGCCCCGGTGCCATTTGCCTATTCTGCTGGCCCAACAGAAATAAAGTCATTAGTGACTTTAAATCTAATCAGATTATAGAATCAATTCCAGAAACTCCAGAAACAATTCAGAAAACTCATGCCTAAGATTCTATTCCTTTAAAAGAATTGCCAGGACCAATGTCTGTATTAATCAAGGGACTCCAGAGAAACAACCAATTGGATGGAAATAAAGTCATTAGTGACTATAAATCTAATCAAATTAGAGAATAAATTCCAGAAACTCCAGAAACAATTCAGAAAACTCATGCTTAAGATTTTACTCCTTTAAAAGAATTTCCAGGACCAAAGTCTGTATTAATCAAGGTACTCCAGAGAAACAACCAATAGGATGTGTGTACATGTGTCTGTATATCAATCTATGTATCTATCTGTGTGTGTATGTATGTATATATGAATGTACCTATCTATCATCTATTTGTCTATCTGTTAACACTAAGGAATTGGCTTACATGACTGTGGGGGCTTGGCGAATCCAAAAATCCAGCAGGATAGGCCAGCAGGCTAGAGACTCAGAGAAGAGTTGCAGTTCAGTCCCAAGGAAATCTGCTCGCAGAATTTCTTCTTGCTCGGGGGAGATCACTAGCTCTTCTTTCACTCTCTCTCTCTCTCTCTGAACTTATTATATAACATATTATATTTTTTGTTATTTATTATTTTCCAGTGCTCATCTTTTTGACTGTAATATCAACTCAATACAGGAAGATCCTTTGATACTATTTCTTTTCTTTTCTTTCTTTCTTTTCTTTTTCTTTTTTTTTTTTTTATATATATCTCATTCACCAAGAATCATGTCTTGCCGGAGACCAGCTCCAGTCGAGTTGTGGGTACCCAAAAAGGGAGAGAGAGGGTCAGCGAAAATAACAAACACAGACAGAGACCTCAATGCATCAATATGCACGTTCTCTCTCTGCAGGCTGTCAGCATGTTGCAGCTGGAGCACAGTAGAGCAGGAGACAATGCCTTTTATTTAGATTTTTCTCTGCGGGGGGGGGGACTATTTTTATTATACCAGCAAGCTTAAATCAATGGTCCATAAAGCAGGGAGGAAACTTTTTTAGAGGTCAGCACGTCTTAGGTGATCAACTCGTGCTTCTTCCTGGAATCAGGTTTATCAGATACAAATCATCCCTTCATTTTCTTGAAGTTATCTGGTGACCTTTCTCTGTAGGAAACTGTGGTTAAGATCCACCCTGTTAGCAGGGTGGGAGCCAAATGTAAAAGAACAGTGGATATTTGATTATCATGTGTTGGAAACAGGGAGCTGCCCTGAACACAGGGGTCCCCTAGGGGGCGCAGCTCTCGTCCAGCTGCATCCAGCTGACGAAGCTTCATGAGTTTCAAAGAGAATTGTTTTGAAAATAGTTGGAGATGTTTTTTAGGAAGTCTAGACTTCTGAC